TTGGAGCTGTCTTCTTGTTTTTTTTTTTTTGAAAAGCTCAAAAGCTTATGAAAATAGCTTTTTATTGTGTTACTAGCATGTACATATAGTGACAGTCGGGAAAAATTGCGCCGCTCGACCGCTTCCCGGAATTGAGCATTGGAAATGAGACCAGAAATAGGATCAGTTCTTTTGTCATACTTAAATGAAACGATTTTGAAAAAAAGTCATTTTTGCTCGTTCCTCTCCCCTAATTCATGACTCTGAAAGTGCAGTTGTTTGCGTTTTGCCGGTTGCGAGCGGAATGATCTCGAGATTGAAATAACCCACAATTTGTCAAATCAAAACTACCCTTTATTTCTCGTAGAAAAATTCCTCATCAATCTTTGTATTCACAGTTCTTAAGCATTATGACCTCTTAATCTTACTTCTTTATCAATAAAGCAAAAGCTATTTCTCCCCTCTTTGATCTCATATTTCTCAGCCTTCCAGTGTGCAGAAAGATCAGTGTGCGAGACCGAATCACCTTTTCTTTTACACTTTCTCGCTCATTAAGGTGATCGCAGCCATGGCTCTACGTATCTACCCTTGGATTGACCCCAAAAGAGCCCTGAGAGTACACATTCTTGTGGGCGTAGCGTAAGCCTCTTTTTTAACGTTAAGTAGCTTGAACGTAGTAGCCAGACCACATACTCTACACATTAATACTAACGTTACCACAAAAGACACAAGATACGTTAACACGTTCGTAATTGCTTTTAGACGCCTCCCATATGATCCACACGTGGAAGAAACGTCTAGCCTTTTTTGGCACAAAATTCTGCTACCTATAGCCTCTAAACACTCGGTGGCTACCACCAATTCGCAAGAGTTTCATTATTCAGCGCAATAAGAATGTAAAATCAAGTTCGTTTTCTGGCTTTACCTGCCTGCTACATTTGTGCTAACACAAAATTTTAGCTATTTATAAATATTTTCACACAATACCACAGCCCAAGATAAGTTTGCTTGCTGTCAACCTTCAGATTATGTGCACCAGATAGAAGAAGGAACTTCAGCAATGCTTTGAATATGGCATTTTAGCCAAGTGATTACATTAAGCAGTTTTTTTTTTGTACATTCGCAATGTATGGTTCAGGACTTTCAAAACTACTATAGTACCTGTAGATATGGAC